GGTAAGGGGGTCTGGGCAGATGGGAAAGGGGTCTGGCTTAGGGGGTATATGTGGAGGAGGGTGTGGGTGAGGCGAAGGGGGTCTAAGTAGGGGGTGGGTGGGAGATGGAGTTTCCTGGACTATAAGACCAGGAGGAACCACACTGTGGTTTTCTGGTCTGACCTCTTCTAACTCAGGTCATGGATTTCCCTGAACTAATTCCTGTTTGAACTAGAGTACTGTATATCTTTTAGAAAAACATCCAACTTCGATTTAAAAGTTGCTAGTTTTGGAGAATCCACCATGACCTTGGTAAATTGTTAAAAATGTACACCTTCAGATTTGTCTAGCTTCAACTTCTGGCTATTGGAGCTTGTTATTCCTTTCTCTGCTAGGGTTTCCAACCCTCCTGGTTTCACCGAGAGTCTCCCGGAATCAGGCCCTATCTCCCGGAGGCTACTGAAGCCAAACTGGGAGATTTTAGGCCCTAAAAGTCTGGGGGTGCAGTGGGGTTAAGGCAGGCTCCCTACGTTCCCCCTACCCCGCGTCACTCCCGAAAGCGGCTGGCACATCCCTTTGGCAGCAGCTCCTAGGTGGGGGGAGGGATGGGGACAGCAGGCTCGGGACTCTGTGCACTGCCCCGCCCTATGTGCCAACTCCACAGCTCCCATTGGCCGGGAACTGTGACCTGTGGGGGCGGTGCCTGTGAGCGCGGGAGACATCCCCCCCCCCCCCGCGCACACACCTAGGAGCCGCTGCCAGAGGGACATGTCAGCTGCTTCCGGGAGTGGTGCAGAGCCAGGGTAGGCAGGGAGCTTGCCTTAGCCCTGCTGTGCAGCCAACCGGGAGCCGCCTGAGGTAAGCGCCTCCTGGCTGGAGCCCACACCCTCCTGCACCCCTGCCCCAGCCCTGAGTCCTGTTCATACATCCAAGAATTGTATCAGCCCTTTTGGCCATAGTATCTCACTGCAAGCTCATGTTCAGTTGACCCTGTAAGTATGGGCTACATTCTTTGTTCCTAGATTAATGACTTTGCATTTTAATATGACCAAATGTATACTGTTTATTTTCGCCCAGTTTTCCAGCAATCCAGATCACTCTAGATCAGTGACCTGTACTCTTCATTATTTACCATGCACCCAATGTTTGTGTTATCTTTAAACTTTTTCAGTGATTTATTTCAGAGTAGCAGCCGTGTTAGTCTGTATTCGGAAAAGGAGTACTTGTGTTAGTCTCTAAGGTGCCACAAGTACTCCTTTTCTTTTTTCAATGATTTATGTTTTCTTCCAGCTCATTGATAAAAATATTAAATAGCATAGGCCCAAATTCACTGTACACACCCACACAATGATATTCCCCTTTTACGACTACATTATGAAACCTGTACTTTAGCCAGTTTTTAATCCATTTAATGTGTGTCAGGTTAATTTTGTAACATTTTAATCTTTTAATGAAAATGTCATACGGTACCAGGTCAACTGTCTTACAGAAGTCCAAGTATGTTGCAGCAATACTATTACCTTTATCAACCAAACTAGTAATTTCATTTAAAAAACCAAACAGACGATATCAAGTTAGTTTGACAGGATCTATTTTTCATAAATACATGACGAATGGCATTAATTATATTACTCTCCTTTAATTCTTTATTGTTTGAGTCCTGTATCAGCCACTCTGTTATTTTGCTCAGGATTGATATCTGGCTGACAGGCCTATGGTTACCTGAATCATCTTGTTTACCCTTTTAAAATGTTGGCACATTAGCTTTCTTCCAGTTTTCTGGAATTACCCCAATGTTCCAAGAGTTAATGAAAATTGACACACATGGTCCAGCAAACTCCTTGGCTGGCTCTTGTAAATCTCTTGGATTCAAGTTACCTGGACTTGCTGATTTTAAAATGTTTAACTTCGGTAGCTGCTGTTTAACAGCCTTCTGTGTTACTATTAGAATGGAAAGTGTTTTTTTATCTTATAAGATAACTACATTATCTCTGTTTTTTACCTCAAATACAGAACAGAAATATTTATTGAACTTCCTGCATTATTATTGAAGGCTCTACCATTTCCATCTAGTAATGGACTGATACCATTGTTAGGATTCTTTTTGTCCCTAATCTTAAAAATACCACCCGCTCCTTCTTATTTTCCTTAACTCTACTTTCCGCAGATTGTTCCTTGTTTCTTTCAGCTTCCCTTATCAACGTTCTACAATTCCTGGTTTCTGATTTAATCAACCTCCCCTTCAATTTGTTATATTGTTTTATTTGTTACAGCTGCCTTTACTTCCCCTCTAAGCCAAGTGTTTTTTATCCAGTACAATCTTCTTTCTCAATTGTGTGACTGTGGCTTTTTGGGTCTCCAGTAAAATGTTCTTGAACAATTTCCAATTATTCACATTTTTCTGTTTAAATGTCATTTGGCTCATAATAGTTTTCGTTTTATGAAATTAGTCCTTATAAAGCACCAAGTATATGTATTACTGGTTTGAATTTCATTTGGTTTGCACATAACAAATGTGATCACTTGTATCTAAGCTACCCCAAAATTTTAGTTCTGTGATCAGTTCCTTTTTCTATCAAGAGAAGATCTAATATTGAATTCCCCCATGTTGGTTGTAATGCTTTTGAGATTGGAAATTGTTGTCTCAGTTTTGAAATACTGAGGATGTTTTAGTACTGGCAGCATATGAAACCTCCAGTGTCTGTTGCTCAGATTGAAGTCCCCCATGGTCATGCAGCTTTTTTTCTATATGTTCCTAAGGAGCTGGTCATCCTGTTCAAATCTAAGGGTGGTTTGTGGCAGATACTGACTGTTACCCTATCTTGTGCTTTATCTGTCAGGACGGGGGTTCTCAGACTTTTGTACTGGTGACCCCTTTCACACACAGAGCCTCTGAGTGCGATCTCCACCCCCTTATACATTAAAAATATTTTTTATATATTTAACACCATTATAAATGCTGGAGGCAAAGTGGGGTTTGGGGTGGAGGCTGACAGGTTGAGAACGCTGTAATAACCTCATGACCCCCTGAGGGGTCCCAACCCCCAGTTTGAGAACCCTTGTGTTAGGACACTGATCCATAAGCATTCAAAATCATTTTCTTCCAAGTTGTCAGTGACTTAGAAGCAGGTAATGTCATTTTTGACATGGAGTGTTACTTCCCTTCCCCTTTTGCCCACTCAATCCTGAATAATTAGGTTATAACCTTAATGGTTCTGGACGCAGGTGGGGAGAGGAGGTCTGGGTGAGAGGAGAACCTATATTACAGCATTCTACAGTCACTACTTCTTGGTAATTGCTTTGCCTCATTCAGGTTGGATGGCTTAGTGAATGAAGCAGAGATGCATTCATTGAACAGGGAAGATACATTATTATTTTAATGCATTACTGTATCAGTATATTTCATTTATTAAAATATTTAAAAATAAGTAGATAATTTTCCCAGTGGGAATTAATATTTTAAAAATTCTTTGAAAGCAATTGTTTTCCTCTTTGTTTCTATTTTTAATAAGCTGTTTAAAAGTAAGTGCTGTAACTCTTTCTCATTCACTGTGCATCATGCATCTTGTGTGCTCAATAAGGAATTGATCATTCTGAATTAATAGTATGTGATTAACAACTGCCTCCTAATCCACATGTAGCATATGGGGGAACTGGGAAGCACAGATAAATAACCAATTTCAGCCTTGCAGAGTTAGGCCTATGTGTGTGATAATAATTGGACTTTTCTTGGCTTTTGAGTGCTTGACTGTGCTTTGCATGAAGTATTTGTATAATTCAGATACTGTGTGCTGCACTAAACATGAGTTAGTGTTTTGCTTGACAAAGATGGACTTGCATACCTTTTTTTTATACAAGTAAGCACGTGCATAAGTGCTTTACTGAATTGGAGCCTTAGTGTCCAGTGGGTAGAGCACTGGATTGGAAGCCCAGGAGATGACTTTCTGCTTCATTTTTCCCATCTGCCAAACCGGGATTGAGATACTCTTCCCCACTTCATAAATTACTCCGTGCCCATGGATGAAAATGGTATAAATACTTTGCTCTTTCCATATAGCACTAAGTCTTATTGTTAGTATTAAACAAATAATGATAATCTGTTTGTTGATAATTTCTTAACATTCATAATCATTGTGTATTGACTGCTCAAAATGTTTAGGAACCATAACAAAATTGTTATACCCATGTTCTTGATATTTGTAATGTATAGTTGACTTAAGTAGGATTTTTGTCTCTTGAATTCTCATTTTTCTCTATAAAAAGAATGAACATCATTCTCTGTTTGTCCCTACTGTCATGATGCTCACAAATGTCATCTCCATCGTTGGAAAAACAAAACAAAAGCGAGCATTTTGTTTTCCATAGCAAAAAAATGTAATGGGACAAATTTAGAGTGGCTGGAAAAAGGTATAATTCAATTGAAGTCTCTGAAATTACTCTGGCTTTCAGTAGGGATAAATATGCCCCAGTGTTACCTTGCGACTAACGCTTCTATCGTGGGCTTACCCCTTTTATATCCAGGTCCTTTTAAGGTATCTACGTCAATGGTAATATAAATACTATTTTTCCCCAGAAGAAATCAGGGTGGGGAGAATCCCCATTGAACTATGGTTGGGTCCTAGCCTTAAAATCTTTAAGTAATATCAGGTTTCATAGTGGTAGCCGTGTCGTCTGTGTCAGCAAAAAGAACGAGGAGTACTTGTGGCACCTTAGAGACTAACAAATTTATTTGGGCATAAGCTTTCGTGGGCTAAAACCCACTTCATCACAAAAGCTTATGCCCAAATAAATTTGTTAGTCTCTAAGGTGCCACAAGTACTCCTTGTTCTTTTTTCAAGTAATATCAGTGTATTGTACAATGGTTACACTGCAAACATAATTTTGCAGCTTACCTTTTTTATAGCATATGCAGGATTTAGATATGTCAGACCTGCTGCTCCTCTTTAAAAGCTGAACATCTGAAAACCTGGATTTTGGATCTTTGACCTGTAGTTTGCCAGTGATGCTCTTGATACACTTGCCAGGCATTGTAAGAATCCACTATCCAGGTTTTACTCTGATCTTGAAGCTTCTCACGCTGAAACTATTAAAGCAATGAGCAGAACTTAGGAGAGGATTTGCTTCTTGGTTTATTATTTAAATACCTTCAAAAGTATAACCAGAAACCTTGGACTAGTTTTTCACACTGTGTGTAAAATTCATGGGTTCCTTGACTTGTGTTCTGATGTAATGTCTGGACTTATCAGGTAAGAAAAAAGCCTCTTAAAAATAAAGTGAATATGTTTATGCCACCTACAATCGGCCTCTTTTTGGAAGGAATTATTAATGGGAGGCATTTGTTTTTAAATAATTTAGGGGTAAAAATTCTGCAAGGTAGGAAACTGACAGGGTCAAAAAGCGTAGAATAGAAAAGTATTGATATGAGAAAATGGCCTTGAGCAGGGGTTCTCAAACTGGGGTTTGGGACCCCTCAGGGAGTCGTGAGGTTATTACGTGGGGGGTTACGAGCTGTCAACCTCCACCCCAACCCTGCTTTGCCTCCAGCATTTATAATGGTGTTAAATATATAAAAAAGTGTTTTTAATGTATAAGGGGGATTGCACTCAGAGGCTTGCTGTGTGAAAGGGGTCACCAGTATAAAAGTTTGAGAACCACCGACCTAAAGAGAGGATAGGGTTAGCAAAGGGAAATCATTCAGAGTGAAAAGGGGGATACTTTTTTTTTTTTTTTTTGGGGGGGGGGGGGTTTGTACGTAAATGGCCTTGACTTACACAAGTGAATAAATAGAGAGAAGCAGAGAAACTAATATTCCAGAGAGAGTGCTGTGTGAATTTCAGTGTAAATTGAGTGATTGATGAGGGAACCAAAAGTAGGCATATGGTCAGATTCATTCCTGCTGTGATCAACTGGGGGGTGATTCAACCAGAGAGAACAGGTGGTAGTATTGCTCCCTCGCAGTTGCCACTGGGAAAAGGCAGCTCTGAATTATGTCAGGAACCCTGCTGGTATAGGATGCGCTGGATCAACACATCTCCTAGCTGCTCTGACCCTGCATCCTCTTCAACCAGTGCTACCCACCTGCAGCCCCCTACCATTCTGTGTGCTGCCAGAGATCTCCATCTGCCTCTGCCAGCAAAGACCTTGAGTTGACTTAGCCGATAGCCTACAAGGAAGAATAATACAGAGAAGCAAAGAGAAATTTCGGGAGGTGTTTCAGCAGGGCATTAAATGTGTGTGTACAACGTCTTAAAGCAGCAAAGCAAGCAAGCAGAATTTTGGGATATAATATATGCACGCAAGGTTGCAAATGGGCTGGAAGATAAAATAGAGAATTGTGGGGACTGAAGAGTTGTGGGCAAAAGACATGGGGGTACAGATGGCGACTGGAGTGGTGAGGGAGAAGAAACATGGCCAATTTTGAAGCAAGATTATCTGATTTGCAATGAGTGTAGCATTGACTGTCCCAGGATATTTTCCTGGAAGCTTTCCATCTTATTCAAAACGTGATGGTGCTTTACTGAACTCATAAGGCACAAGAGTGTGCGTATACAGGGAATAGATCTTGTGTGCATCAGGCTGGAAGTAAATTTCTTTATTTATATTGGTCATGGCAATCTTGCCACTTGCTAACTGAGGAGCATTACATTAGATTCTGCTACATTACTTTTCTGGGCTCATCTCCATTTAATAGCTAATACAGCTGTAGGGCATCCCAAGTAGTAAATTCAGGCTGTAATGCCAAGATATGTTGCTTCTGATCTCAAGGATTAAAAATACGTCTATATGCCCTCTCAAAGCTGCAGTAACATTATAGTTGCATTTAGGCAAGTTCAGCTGACCCAGTCATAACATATGGAAGAACGAATGAAATCCCAGGAAGAGATGAGAGACCCAGCATTTCTGTGATACTCCTTTTAAGCCATGGATGTGAGAGTATCTAGCTGTTACGTTTCTAGATGTAAAATCTGTTATACTTTAATATAATTTATATAAAACCTGCACTGTGCAGAATCCATCCTCTGGTTACTCGTATTTTCTATCTGATTTGTATTTTATGTTTCTATAAATTGTGAGTTCCTTGGCCCAGTGACTCTGTGGCTCTGTGTTTTCTGTAGAGTAATAACATGAAACACAGTAATAAGCAACAGGTTTCAGAGTAACAGCCATGTTAGTCTGTCTTTGCAAAAAGAAAAGGAGTACTGGTGGCACCTTAGAGACTAACCAATTTATTTGAGCACAGCTCACTTCATCGGATGCATCCGATGAAGTGAGCTGTAGCTCACGAAAGCTCATGCTCAAATAAATTGGTTAGTCTCTAAGGTGCCACAAGTCCTCCTTTTCTTTTAGTAATAAGCAACAGTGTCTTGTGTATAGATAAGGAGTGATGACAGCTGGATAATTTACAAACATGAAGATAAAATAGAAGCAGTTTATCCTGAATATAGTTACTCAGGAGGTAATTGTTAAAATAGATCAAAATGTGAATATCCGTGATTGAAATAAAGATAGAACCACCCACATTTAAAAAGAGAATTAAGGAGTTTTGACCATTTACTATTTTTAATATATCTCAAATATTTCATCATAAACTCCCCTCTCTTGTCCTCCATATCCTCTCTAACTTCTCCTTTGGTTTCCTCTTACTCCCGGTTTTCACCATCTCTCATGCAGCCCCCGTTCCTGCACACCAAGCAACTTCCTTCATCGCTTTAAACCCTATTTTTGTAATCTTCTATTATGAATCTCTTCCACCATGGTTCTTCTGTGTGTACTTGTGCTGTATTCAGTATTGTATTTGTTTAAATTAGAGTGTACCCCTTCAGGACAGGGACCTAAGCCTTCTGTGTGTTCTGGACAGTGTCATGCGCACTTACAGTGCTCTATGAATAAGAAATGAAAATGTCCCACCATGGAAGTTGAGACCTGTCAGGTTAGTTCAGGGATTACTTTCCAGTGCATTCACAGTAGATGCATGCTTGTATAGTCTGCTGTCCTCAGCAGTTCACCAGAGTCTGCATTTGGCAGCCTTCTGGACCTAGTGTAAGAGCTATTAGGTTGGGCAGGCTTTGGTAGAGTCTTATGGTGAATTTTGTTAATAAACAGAGGTTCTCTTATATTTTATTGATCTTGAATTTTTTTCTCTTAAAATGAGGTTCCCAGATGCATTTTGTACTGAGAGCTTCATGCATGCATTAGATTAAAGGGGCACTTTTAGGTCAGTTAAGGACCAGATTTTTTTTTTAAGCCAATGTATTGTTTTTCCCAGTCCCTTAATCCTTCCCATCTGCAGTGAAAAAGGGTTGCCACCTCTGAGTACAAAAAAAGGGACAGCCAGGATGATCCCGAGCCCATAAAACTGGACAGCTGCCAATTTATGCTAAGCCCCCTTACAGGTTTCTTGGGACAACTACCTCAAAAAAGGGACGATCCTGGGAAAACCTGGACAGGTGGCAACCGTAACTGGGAGTAAATTTTTTTGTGTTTGATGTTCAATGCCAGTAAAACATTCATGTTCCTCATGCAGACTTCAGCATGTTTAACACTATTCAAAAGGGGCTAATCCTTCAGTCATTCCTGAAGTTGTTTTAACATGTTTTGTTGAAAGCACCACCACAGATTGGTCCCTAAAACTGGAAGTTTATCTTATTAGTTTTGCCACTGCCTTTATGAACTCAATTTAAAATTAAAATGATTTTGCTTTTCAGTTAGAGCCCCTCACAGCAGCATCTGATAGAAGATATTCCTCCTCCTTTAAAAATGTGAAGTTAATTTCAGTTTTCAGATTTAAATGAATGCAAAGTATATTTTACTTAGTTCGGAAAAAATAAATTCAGATTCTTACAGGCACTTGAGATTTTTATGACTTCAAAGAATTATCATTTATTTCATAATGGCCAGAAGTGCAGTGGATGATTTGGAGAACAAATGGAAGGATAAGGTCCCTGCCCTGAAGAACTTACAAATTTATAATAGATATGATATGGTGAGTGCGGGTACAAATAATAGGGATGGGAAGGACAAAGGTTAACAGGCAAACTAGCCACGTTATTTCTCCTACAGGATGAGAGAGAAGAGAGAGATTATTTCTGTTTTGAAATAGTCAGAAGGTACTTGGATGCTATGGCAGTGGGGTGATACAAGTAAATAAATCATAGAGTAACTCAGTTTAGGTATGTGTACAAACAGGTGGGAAAACCAAGTTGTTTTCTATTATTATAATTGAATCACTTGTAGCTGTTGCAGTTGAGGTAAGTTTTTAAGGCAGTATTTGAATGCAGAGAGGGTGGCGGTTTGGTGGATCAGACTTCTGAGGGCATTCTAGAAGGAAACAACCTTCATGGATTATCTGATAGGAGCATTAAATCCATGAGGGCAGTTAAAGGAATAACATCCAAGTTAAAAACCTCCCTTCTGTCTGTATTACTTAATTCTATTACAGGTAATGACTAACTGAAAGAGGTTAGCATAAAAAGTGATTTTTTTTCTCAGGTTTGTGTTTTACAGCACTTTGTATATAGTCAGTTTCAAATGTATCTCCTGCATAGATTGTTTGCCCTCTGGTCTGGGTGAATCTCTCTCACACAGCAACATGGTATGTTAAAATATTAGGGCCGGATAAAACTTCAGACAATATATTTGTAAAACCACAAATATTGACACGATGAATCAGCAGTATGTGTAGTATATGACAGACTTCAAAATCAATTTTTGAAATGACTAGATTGTAAATTGATGGTCACTTATAATCAGTGAAAGAGTAATTAATGGCTGCAGAATAAATAACAATAGGCTTTTGAAAAGACTCAAGTAGCTGAATTCAGCTTTTTATATGGTGACAATTCACATGCACAAAACTAAATTTCACATTAGTACTGCATGAACTTTATGTTCTTTTGGGCAACAAACTAGAATTTGAGAGAAGCATTTTGACCCACATTTCCAAGTGTTTTGTAGACAACCCAGAGTACATGCACAATTGGAGCCACTGGAGAGTTTACAAATCCCCGAATTAGTTGTGTGTATGTTGTGCGTTGGGCATGCACTTTTGAACATGTGAACCTTTATGTTGTGATGTGTTAGTTTTTGCTTATTTCTGCAGACTAAGAAGATGGACTATAGTTTGATCTAGTAAAATAAGAAATATGCTGTTCCATTTAGCTCAAAGTGGTGATAATTTTTCACATGCTGATTAAGCTTCACAATTAGTATATTTTATCCAAAAGAAGCAGATCCCGCAATGTGCTTTATAGACAATATATAGGTCACTAGACCCTTCACTAAAATGTAGTCATTTCGGGAGTAGGATGTGGCATAAAACTTAATGTTCAAAAGCTAGGAATACTGCATATTAATTTAGGAGAGAAAGGGAAGAATATCTTCAACTGAAACAATAGGAGAAACATAGATCTGTCAGAACAGAATGGCCAGAGTTGGAGTTTAGTTGGGACAGACAGTCCTTTTTATTACCCCCCCCCCCCGGCCAATACTGTACTTTATGACTGTAACTATAGGTTTTCAGAAGCTTGCTTTTTTGTTCACCCTGTGTGTCTGACCAGTAGAACTATATTAATCTCGTAGCTTTTCTTCATGATCATGTTGAAGTCATTGACAAAACAAGCAATGAATTCTATTAGATTGTATGTGGGCTGCACTTTCTACAGTATTTTGTGTATCCAGGCTACAGTATAAGCATCCCACAATTAGTAAGTAACTATACAAATACTGAGCTGTGCATGTCTTTAATTAATGGAGAGGAGTGGTTCCCATAAACTTCTTTATTCTGTTATAGAATTCTAACTCCCTGTTTCTAATCCTAATCTCTTGCCAGTTCCTATGTGTTGCAATCACAGCAGCAGAGAACAATAATGTTCATATCAAAACATTTTACAAGGACTTGTAGGAGTGGAAAATGTAGAATATGTTGCAACTATATGCTGTATGTAGCATCTTTAGGCTTGGAAAGATTAGTTTTTTATCGGTAAATGTGGGCATTGATTTCACCACACACGCGCTGACTAAACAGTATTTCTGTAGATACTTTGCTTATCTTTAAATTTCAATTAAGATAAATTCTTCTTGAGAACTTGTTAGAGGCTGTTATTAAATAATTGTCTGACACCCCAACACTTTCCTGCAACTGTGCAAATATAAATAGATGATAAAAAAAGCTTTAAACCCCAAATTTTGTGAAACTATGAACATGTAAATTGATAAAAATAGAAAAAAGCTTAAAAATAAACATAGATATTATCTGTCAAAATTAGAAAAAAAAATTTAATTCTGCCAAGCCTGAATACCTCCCATGCCCAAATGCTTCAGAGGAGTAAATAATACAATTACAGAGATAAATCCGAAACAATAGCAGAGAGGAAATTAAATAATACATAGGAGGGATGAAAGTGATCTTTTCACCTGAGATTTGAAAACAAATGGAAAGCCAAATGTGGAGGTGGGGAGGAGATAGATAAAGGGAAACAATGTTAGGTAGTTGGAGTAGCAAAGCAGAAGGATTTTGCACCAACCGTGGTGAAATTCGTGGGGGGTTGGGACAGAAAGAAGAGAGAGGTGCTGAATAAGCAGAAGCAGGCATGAAGAAATGAGCATGAGGCCAGTGCAAGGCCATGTAGTGTCTTCAAAACAAGGACTGCAGTTTTGATCTTGGAGGTAATAGGGAATTAGAGGTGTTGTAGAGTATTGCCCATGTGTGGGAACATGCAGTAGGACGGGTGAAATCATCATTCACGTGACAGTCTGGAGATAGGACTTGAGGCACCAAGAATCTAGAACTGTAGGGCTGGAAGGGATGAAGTCTAGCCCTCTGTCCTGAGGTAGGACCAAGTAAACATAGACCATCACTGATAGGTATTTGTCCAACCTGTTCTTAAAAACCTCCAATGATGGGGATTCCACAACCTCCCCTGGCAGGCGTTTCCAGTGCTTAACCACCTTATCATTAGAAAGATTTTCCAAATATCTAACCAAAATCTTCCTTGCTTCATATTAAGCGCCTTACCTTCACTAGGCATGGAGAACAACTGATCAACATCCTCTTTGTAACTGGCTGTTATCAGGTCCCTCATTAGTCGTCTTATCTCAAGACTAAATACACACAGATTTTTTACCTTTCCTAATAGGTCAGGTTTTCTAAACCTTTTTCATTTTTGCTGCTGTCTGGGGAAGAGTTGCAATAAAGAAGCAAAGAAAAGATGAACTATGGATTAGGATTTTAAGTATGGTGCATTTGAAGCAATCGTATTTTGTGGGGAGATGGTGATAAATTGACTTACATTAAGGGAAAAGGAAAGTCAGTCTGCTGCTGCTAACAGTGGAGTTTCCAAATGTTAGACAGTTGCATGGTTCTGTGTTGGTGTCCTGACTTCCTTCCATCTTGAAATTTTACTAAACATCAGTACAAAAAGAGTAAAATTCCACCTCATTTCAATCCGATTATTCTCTGTTCTAAAGCTATGGTCAGTTTAATATTTGTGTTCTGCTAAACAGAGGGGTTTTAATAATCGCCTATATATCACCTGCGTTTTCTTTTTTAGATTTCTGATTGCCATGGCTGCAGTTGACAGTTTCTACCTCTTGTACCGGGAGATTGGTCGTTCTTGCCATTGTTATGTGGAGGCACTGGCTTTAGTTGGAGCCTGGTATACGGCCAGAAAATGCTTCACTCTTGTATGTGATTCTTACAGCTTGATCAGACTGCATTTCATTCCCAAGCTGGTGAGCAGGGCTGATTTGGTCAAGCAGTATGGAAGATGGGCTGTAGTCACTGGTAAGAGAACGTTGTTTTCATCTGTATTTTATTTGAAAGATACTTTCCCCCTCCTTGCGCTTAGTTATTATCTACCCTTTGGTGATACATGTACTATATTTTGTGGAGCTATTTTTCAGATGAATCTGGACCTTTCATAGTAAATACTGGCCCTGAAATAACAGCATTGACAATTAAACTCTCCAGCACTTTTCATCCCTTTTAAACAGAGGATCCAGTCTCTCAGTGTTTAGGGGGGTCCTACTGACTTCAGTTGTGCTCTTACAATCTGACACCACCTCTTTCCATGCAAATATTACTGAATTCTGCCATTCTTTTTCCTTTACTTAGCCACTCTGCTGCTTCTGCATGTCTGATCAGACTCATCAGCCATTGACATCTAAGAAGATGAGCAGAGACCACTAGTTGAAAAGTGACTATTGAAGTAGCAGAATGGCAGGCAGATATGTACCCACTATCTTGTTCATACTCCTTGTATAACGACTTACACAACGCACTCAGATTTGGCGCAGGGTAAAATTTGCACCTCTGACATATGCTCTTCACCAGACTTGCCTCAGTCTTCTAGTCCTGTATTCTAAACCCTACACCACTATGTTACTTTCTACTGTAGGTAGCACAGCTGGTATTGGAAAAGCCTATGCGGAGGAACTGGCAAGCCGTGGCATCAACATTATCTTAATCAGCCGGAGCAAAGAGAAGCTGGAGGCCGTAGCTAAAGACATAGCCGAAACCTATAAAGTTGAAACTGCTGTTATAGTAGCAGATTTCAGCAAAGGTCGTGAGGTTTACTCTTCCATTAAGGAAGCCCTAAGAGACCAAGACATTGGGATTTTGGTGAATAATGTAGGAGTGTTTTATTCCTACCCGGAATATTTTACCAGGTTGTCTGAGGACAAAGTGTGGGAAATTGTCAATGTAAATATTGCTGCTGCTAACATGATGGTGCATATAGTGCTGCCAGGAATGGTACAGAGGAAAAGAGGTGCAATTGTGAATGTTTCTTCTGGATCCTGCTGCAAACCCACACCACAGATGGCAGCGTATTCAGCCTCCAAGGTAAGCCAGGGGGCAGAATGTGCTTCACCCTACCGTGCTAGTTGGGAGCTTCACTAGCTCATGCAGAGGGGCATGAGGCTATTTATTTGTATTGTGGTAGTGCTTCAGAGCTTCAGTCGTGGATCAGGGCACCATTTGGTAAACGCTATACAAAAAATGGCTTCACCTGTTGGTCCATTTAGAGTGGCTGGTGTTACAAATGACGCTAGCCTGAGCCTTCTGCAGCACAAGGCCTGGGCCTCCTCTCTACACAGGGATGCAAAAGAGAGAGAAGGCTCTGGACTTCATTCTTTGCCTCTCCCCTCTAGGCACCCACACAGGGCGAGTCCCAGATCATTTCAGATGTTTTAAGATATATTCTACCTAACTAAAACATAAGAGACTCTAAGGTTCTTCTCATATAATGCTTATTTTTTAAGAAGCAAAGTGTTCCCAGTAATTTGCTGTGGATTACAGTAAACTAGTAAACCTCTAAAAGAAGTTTAGCATAGCTACTTGCCGGTAGTTTTTGTTGTTGTTAAATTAATCTTTTATTAAATGTTACTTTCAGAACAGTAAAGTGCTATTTTTTGCAACATTTAGAGAAAAGGATGTGCCTTAATGTCTCACTTACCTAGATGCGAAATTTCATATATTAATATTACAGTACTGCTTAGAAGTTTTAGAAGTGACCCAAATCTTTGTGATAGCAGTAGAACTAGTATCAGAGACTTCCTGCCTCCTCCATACAAGATCCCATGAAGGGGTAGGATTACTAAAGCCCCATTCCTGTAATACTTTAAGCATGTGAGTAATCCCACTGACTTCAGTTGAACTACTAACAGGCTAAGTGTTTGGAGGATCAGGGCCAAGGCTGCCAGGAAATAGAGAAGCACTAGTGGGGCTGTGGACATTGCAGGTTCAGTTTCTGCTTCAGGCAAATTATTTTTATTTTTAAAGTTTGTGGGGGGGTTGTTTTTAATGTTTAGTTTGTTTCCCCTCCCCACAAGCAGAGTGAGTTTGGGAAGGGAAGATGACTACCTTCTTCCCACTACGCCCCATATGCAATTGTGGGAGAGAATCCCATGAGTCATCATCCAGCAGTGGAGCAATGCAGGAAGGATGTGCAAGTGTGGCAATCCAGGATTGTACTGGCTGGCCACTAAGTTACCAGCACTGCACTGATGTCGCAGGCATCTGACTAACCATTTACCATGGTAGCACTGCAGCATACAACGTTACAGCAATGTTACTACTATGAGAAGAGTGTACCAAACTTATTTATTGTGCTGTGCTTGATCTCCATAATCCCCGCTATCAGGTTTATGATGCCAAAGGTTAGTTTTTAAATTGGGGAGTTAAATGAGCTGAGGAAGGTGTTTGGGCCATACCCATACATTTAGGCCTTAATTCTGTAAACATGCATGTGTGTAATTTTACACATGAGTACTTGTTAGCTTCAGTGAGAATACGTGCATATGAAAAGTTAAGCACATGTATAATGTTTGCAGGAGCAGGACCTAAATGACTACACACAGTGCTGGCTAATGCACCAAGTAAACTGCGGAGGGAGGGGGGGGTATTAAAGAAAAAATGTTTCACTTGTAAGTTCAGGTAGTGTTTGCAACAATAGTAGGCTTCAATACAACAAAAAATCAGCCAGAAGTAAGTGTCTTTAAAATTGACATACCTTTAAACTAATTAACTGGGTCTCCTACAATTTGCTGAAAAAACCAAACAGATGCTGAAAACGGGGAACCATGATCATGCTATAAAAACATAGAATCATAGAATATAAGGGTTGGAAGGGACCCCAGAAGGTCATCTAGTCCAACCCCCTGCTCGAAGCAGGACCAATTCCCAGTTAAATCATCCCAGCCAGGGCTTTGTCAAGCCTGACCTTAAAACCTCTAAGGAAGGAGATTCTACCACCTCCCTAGGTAACGCATTCCAGTGTTTCACCACCCTCTTAGTGAAAAAGTTTTTCCTAATATCCAATCTAAACCTCCCCCACTGCAGCTTGAGACCATTACTCCTCGTTCTGTCATCTGATACCATTGAGAACAGTCTAGAGCCATCCTCTTTGGAACCCCCTTTCAGGTAGTTGAAAGCACTATCAAATCCCCCTCATTCTTCTCTTCTGCAGGCTAAACAATCCCAGCTCCCTCAGCCTCTCCTCATAACTCATGTGTTCCAGACCCCTAATCATTTTTGTTGCCCTTCGCTGGACTCTCTCCAATTTATCCACATCCTTCTTGAAGTGTGGGGCCCAAAACTGGACACAGTACTCCAGATGAGGCCTCACCAATGTCGAATAGAGAGGAACGATCACGTCCCTTGATCTGCTCGCTATGCCCCTACTTATACATCCCAAAATGCCATTGGCCTTCTTGGCAACAAGGGCACACTGCTGACTCATATCCAGCTTCTCATCCACTGTCACCCCTAGGTCCTTTCCGCAGAACTGCTGCCTAGCCATTCGGTCCCTAGTCTGTAGCTGTGCATTGGGTTCTTCCGTCCTAAGTGCAGGACCCTGCACTTATCCTTATTGAACCTCATCAGATTTCTTTGGCCCAATCCTCCAATTTGTCTAGGTCCCTCTGTATCCTATCCCTGCCCTCCAGCGTATCTACCACTCCTCCCAGTTTAGTATCATCCGCAAATTTGCTTAGAGTGCAATCCAAACCATCCTCCAGATCATTTATGAAGATAAATGTTTATGAAATAAACCCAACATATTTTGGGTTTTTTTTCTAGTATTTGTCAAAATATGCGGGTTTTTTTATAACCCTTTTGTCAGAATAGTAGTATAATTTCCAAGATAATAGTTTTAATAATACTTTACACCAAGACTTTATTCCCCCTCTCCCCCATGCAAAACTGAGGAATCCTAATTTTCTGCTTTTATCTTACCAGGCCTACTTGGACCACTTCAGTAGAGCACTACATTACGAATATGCTTCAAAAGGAATCTTTATTCAGAGTTTAATCCCATTCTTCATCTCCACAAAAATGACACAATTTGGTGATCACATTCTGTCAAACAAGTTTTTGTTTGTGCCTTCAGCTAAAGTATATGCACGTCATGCTGTTTCCACCCTTGGGATATCCAGAAGGACTACAGGATACTGGATCCATTCTATTCAGGTAACAATTAATCCCACTAGTTTACATTAGTAAATCTCATTACCTTTTCAAAGGGGGAAATTTAATCTTTTGGCTTCCATTGATTTTCATGGGAGTTGAGAAGCTAAAACAAGTGCAACGTTTTGGACATTTCTTTCTAATCTGCAGCACAAACCAGTCAACCTAAACTAGGGTGACCAAATGTCCCATTTTTAAAGGGGCAGTCCAGTTTTTGGGGATTTTTCTTAAATAGGTGCCTATTATCCCCAACCCCTGTCCTGTTTTTTCACAGTTGCTATCTGGTCACCCTAACCTAAACCAGAGGCACTGCTCCATATTTCTTGACCGCTTCCATGTTTAATCAAATTATGACTGGACTACGTATTTTGCTTTAGGAGGAGAGGGAGAATCTGATTGCTACTTTTAATTTGCAGCCCAAATTTTAAAAAATTACATTCAAAAACACATAAAGGGTTACCAAATTAAATTAATAGACAGCAGGTTTAAAACAAACAAAAGGAAGTATTTTTTTCATATAAAACACAGTCAGTCTGCGGAACTCCTTGCCAGAGGATATTGTAAAAGCCAAGACTATAACAGGGTTCAAAAAAGCACTAGATAAGTTCATGGAGGATAGGTCCATCAATGGCTATTAGCTAGGATGGGCAGGAATGGTGTCCCTAGCCTCTGTTTGCCCCTGTTCTGTTCATTCCCTCTGGGGCACCTGGCATTGGCCACTGTTGGAAGACAGGATACTGGGCTAGATGGATCGTTGGTCTGACCCACTATGGCCATTCTTACGTAACATCTTGCACCTCTTTTAACTTGAATATGTCTGTTCTAATTGCATGCTCTTCACAGTTCAATAACTGTTTTCATTGAAATACACTTAAAATTTCCTGAAAATATTTGTGTTTTAAAAAATTGTTACAAAATCTACATCTTTAGCCACAACTACCTGAAAATGTGTCTCCGTTTAATGTAGATTTCCTTTATTGCACAGTATCTGCCCAGAACCTCACTTTGCAAAGGGACTGGTGTGAGCACTAATGACATCTGCTGGCTAATTTGGATCATTTTGTGAAGTGGGAAAGGAGGGACATAAGGGGTGGAGATTAGGAAAAAATGAAGGAGAGAGCATGGAGTTAGTTGTTTATTCATAAAGATATATTTGCAGAACCTGATCTTACACCTGTATGAGTAAGGTGGTTCTAAGGTGCATAACATTATATTTAGTTACAGCATTTGTTTTTTAATTTTGTCATATACTGTATTTTGTTCTATTTAATGTAACATAATAAGTGTTGATCAGAAAAGGAGTGGGATTTCCATGGTAGTTTGAAAAACTGCAAGTTTACTGAGAACAGATCCTTTAACCTTTTCCCTCTCTCTTTTGTAGTTTCTGCTTGCACAGTACATACCAGAATGGTTCTGGGTTTGGGGAATGCAGATTCTCAACAGTGCTCTACGTCGGGATGCCGTATCCCACAGAATATATTAGGAATGTCATCTAGGAAATAGCCAATGTGCTAAACTACTGCAGTAACCTAATTTGAGCATTGGAAGAACTCTTTTAGAAAAAACAAAGTTTGCTAGTATGTTTTCATCACAAACAATATACGTATCATAGTTACCAGAAAAGTCTGGATCCTGCCCCTCTCTTTGTACTACTGGGCTCAGAGCAAAAGCTAAGCAGGACATAACTGATTTTTGTCGAGTTTAGTTTAGATAGCTATATCGCTGAGTTTCTCATGTAACTGAATGAGAGTGGGCAGTGTGCTGATCCTGCATGGAATTGACTGGCTTCTGTATGGAAATCCTAATAATATGAATGGGAATTTAGGTAGCCTGGTGTTTTGCAGGATTGGCACTGGAAGAGGTGAAGGGGATCCCAAATCATGTTGTGTTATAAAGACAATCTCAGATTTTAGTTTAACTAAATCTCTCTACAGTGGACTATCTTGTGTTGGTTTTCCAGTCTTGTCATTGCAGGTGTTACGTTGAAAAATGTATAAGGTTACTTTTCAAAACTGGGAAAAGGGTAGGATGCATTTAAGCCTTTTTAGTTAATTCTTTTGTTCGTGTGACAGAGCAGCAATAAAGTTCAAATAAAAATGTTTGCTTGCTTTCCTGTACCAAGTGTGAAAGATTTTGATCCAATTTTCAAGAGGATACTCCATTCATAATCTGTGATGTCTGAAGAATTTAATCAGATACTTAAACTATTTTAAAAAGTCCGATTTAAGGTGGAGTTTTGAGTTTTTAAAATATATTTAGGTCGTCTTTCTTCTGTAAGTGAAAACCCTATTTAATTTTATAACATTTGCTTTTATGCAGCTAGTAGCATTTTTTATTACTTTCTGTCCACCTTGTTGTCATACACTATGGTGTTAATACTCACCGCAAAAGCTAAATTTTCTGGGAGTCAAATGTGCTAATTTGTTGTTGTCTAGATATAAATCCCATGTTAAACCAGAATCTGAATTGTGCACAGTAGATTTATCACTCAGTTTTCAATGTAATATCATTAGGATTCTGTATTACCACTCCCTTAACTGTTACAGTGAGACCACTAAAAATATAGAATAATGATATAGAAGAAACTTCATGTAGTATCTGGTAGAGCAGTGGATATCTTCTAATTTGTGTTAATAGATCTGCTACCCATGATGACATGATTTGCCCTGTATTCAATGCCAACCTCTTGTGTGGGATACAGGCCTAAAGAGCAGCAGGAACAATGTACAGCTCCACTGTGGGAGGGAGGGAGGCAGGCCATGCAGGAGTACTCTGCACCTCTTGGACAGCAGAGCAGTGCTTCATGGCAGCAACATGGAGAGAGAGAGAGTTCACATGGGTCCAAGAACTACATCTATCCATTGCCCAGAACCCCACGGTGGAGGGCATATAGCAGGTTATAGCCTCTGATAGAGCCCAGATGATGCAGTTGTGGCTGCAAAATAGAACTGGCTCCTTCATGCCTGCTGTGGGTTGGGAAAGTAGGATTCTCCCCCACCACCCAACTCCACTTACCGTAGGTGCACTGTGCAAAGCCTGAATATTTACTTTGTATAGGGGGATTAGAATTCAGCCCCAGTTGAATAAAGGATGGGTGCTGATGCGGCTAATTACAAATCTGTTACAAGGTGGCTAATTCTAAAACATATCTTGTGGTATTTTTGGTCAGATCCCTTTAAAATCCAATATACAGACAGTTCATACTGTGAAACCTCACACTGGTTTTTATGAAGTGCTTTATGACTCAGTATATTTGCAATGCTAATTTAGTGATTGGCTGACTGAGTTACTGCCAAGAGTGAAATTCAGTTGGCTCTAACAACTCTAATTTGTCTGTTTCATATAAGCCTATATGATTTGGGTATTGACTCATGCTCATTAACAAGATTAATCTAGATAACTGTGGGTACATGCATAAATGGTGTACACAAACTACACCTTTAATTAAAGAAAACAAACTTTTGTCTTCAAGAAAACACTGATAAAAGGGACTGGTTCTTCAAAAACTTTCACATGTTCAACTTTAAGCATATGAATAGGCTGATACTCAAACTATTCACATAAGTCTTTGCAGGAATTGGGGTCCTAGTCAGTGACCTGTGAATAAACAAACTCTTTTAATTTTGCCCACTCTCAAACTATATGTAAAAACATATTAAATCAGAAGTTTAACTTATGGTACTGATTTTTATAAAAGTCAAATGGCATATGCATATAAAGGCTACAAACTTTTCAAAAGTAATTGAAATCAAGTTAAATACCACAAGTATCAATTACTAAAAAAGAATGTGATATAAATATCATGTGAATGCAACATCAAATAAAGGTAGAAATTAAACAGCCAAGTCAGAGCACTTAAAAACAAAGAATTAGATATAAGTGAGAGAAACAGTAGGTTAAAGATGGACTAGGTTGCCCCCTTTTGAGACAAATTCAGTTGATCATTTGTGACATTAGTTTGCTGGTCTCAAGTAGCTGTTGTCTGTGTTGCAAAATAATGCACAACTTGCACTGGGATAGGACTGCGAAGAACCTTGCACTGTGCTTTTTCTAAGGTGATTTCCTGCTTTAGCTAGTGCCATCAATTTCTGACCTTCATCAGAATTAAAATAATCACTAAATTATTTAAAGGGGAGAGGGGTATCCACCTTTACAAGTGATAAAGTGAAATGAAAGCTTTCTAGTTAACCACACTGTATATAGTGCATCTTTGTACAGCTTTCCAAGGCACACAATGTATATTAAACTGTCTATACTGTCAAATAAAAACTGTCTAATGTGTTCATTGGCTATAATCATCTACTTTGTCATGTGACTAAAATTGCCACCGAAGAGCTCACTATTTGTGAGTAATTCCAGATCAAATGTGCTCAATTGACTGAAGAAAACACTTTTCTTCTTAACTACTACCAGTCAAGACTCATGTAGGAGCTGAAAGTTGTTTCTGTTCCCCCAGCTTGTTAATCGTTGCTAGCTTAAATATAATTAGCTGATTATGTGTGAACGGCAGTAGAATCTAGCTTGCTCTATTAAGGTGTATTGGAGCTGCAGGACTAACAATTAAAACATTTGTGACACACTCTGCTATGACTAAGGGTCTAAACTGCACAATACACCACAACTGTTTGTTTATATTAGTTCCTAACTGTGCCATCAGTATTAGCAGTATCAGAGGGGCTAATTATCTGTGGATAGCCATGAATTTGCAGGGCTCTACAGTGGAGGCCGGACTGAGGCTCTGAGCCAGCCAGTCTGCCCCCTAGAACCCAGTTGGAAAGAACTAGCAACTGTGGGGAGCTGCAGTGGACTCTGCCCTAGGTGGGGGTCCCAAGCAGCCCCCCACCCAGGGCAGGTGGAGGGACCCAGGCTCCCCACAGCTGCCAGCACGACTCTCCCCAACCCAGGTCTGGCCAGAGATGGGGGCAGCCAGGAACCATAGCCGGCCACGGTAAGAGCCAGGCAGGCAGTTATGTGGAGCTGCTGCAGACTGTCCACCTGCCCTGAGTGGGGGCACGAGCAGCCCCCTGCCCAGGGAAGGTGGAGAGACCCACGCTCCCCACAGCTGCCAGGGGCAGTTGGGAGCCACAACCCAGCCACGGTAAGAGCTGGGCAGGCAGCTGTGGGAGCCATGGCAGACCCTCCACCTGCCCTGGGTGTGGGGCTGAAGCAGCCCCTGTCCCTGCCTCCCAGGCCCTTAACCCAGGGCAGGTGGAGGATCCGTGCCCCAGTTCCTCTAAGCTGCTCACCCACTCTTACCCTCAGAGCCACGCACGGATACAAAATTTGTATCCGCATCTGCGCTGGTATTCGCAGAAATGGTCCCATGGATATCCACATCCACAGATCTAAAGTGGATACCCGTGTATTCGCAGGGCTCTACTCGTTTCCAGAAGTGGTCCTTCCAGCTCCGTTTTAAAGTATTGTGGCAACGGAGAAGCTTGCAGGGCTGTTTATCATACGCATCTCTAGGAGCCTTCGCTCTCCAGGAGTCAGAGGAGAACAATGCTGGTCTTATTTTGAATGGCCCTACAGCCCCTGCCAGTTAAAGGTAAGATAGAAAATTTAATATGGCTGCCTCTCCTGGAAGACTAATTTTATTCAAAATGCGTAATGTCAGTCAAGCCACTCTAGCGGGCCTGCTTCTTGAAAGTTAGGGAATGAATACAAGTGCATTTCCCCAAGAGACAGGGCTGGATTTAACATTACAACCTGTAATGGGGGGAGGGACAGCTCAGTGGTTTGAGCATTCGCCTGCTAAACCTAGGGTTCTGAGTTCAATCCTCGAGGGGGCCATTTAGGGATGGGGGCAAAAGTTGGGGATCGGTCCTGCTTTGAGCAGGGGGTTGGACTAGATGACCTCCTGAGGTCCCTTCCAACCCTGATGTTCTGTGACTGGAGCTCCCTCGTCTAACTCGAGGACTTCGCTATTCTTTTCTCACACGCGTTCCCTGGGCGTGTGCCCACACGGTCTCTTCCCGGGGAGGCCCAGTGAACCGTAACTTACAGGTCTACCTAACCCCAGTCACAGACGCCCCTCCAGCGCGCTGGGTGCCTTGACGTACCTGTAGCACCCCCGCAAATCCCTCCCCCCCCCCCCAGCACCAGCCGACCTCCTCTCAGGCCCCCCACAGCCTGGCGTCACTGGATCCTCCCACCCTGGGCGGCGTGAGCGTGGCGAACAGACCAGCTCCCGGGAGGACACGGGTGCAGCGGCCCTTGGCTGCCACGCGCCCACGTGACCCGCAGCCGCCCTGAAAGACCCGCCGAAGCCCTCTCCCGGCTTCTTCCGGTATCCCGCACCAAGCCTCGCGAGACTCCGGACGCCCATGCAAACGCACAGCCCGGTTCAGGGCGCCGGAGTCTTGCGCATGCGCCTCTCCTCTTCCCCGACGTTGAGCGTCGGGTCATGTTCCCAACTCTGTTGGCCGCCGTCTTCTCGCGAGACGTTGTTAGTAAACACCGCTCAAAATGGCGCGTGGAGGCCCTGGACACGGCGCTTCGGGGGAGAGACGGTTAGAGGCGGCGAGGGGTGGTGACGTAGGGAGGGTGTTGCGGTGGAGGCGGCGCGTCACGCGGGGTGATGGAGCTCAACGTGGGTCGGCCCTGTGGGGGGCTATCGAGGGCTTGGAGAGAGCTATGGGGGTGCTGTGTGTGTGAGGAGGGGGGTGACCCCAGTTCCAGCGGGGCCATGAGGGAACCATAGGGGGCATGTATGGGAACAAGGGGTCTCGCGTTAATGAGGTGAGGGGCCTGCAGCGCAGCCCTGGCGGGGTGAAGAAGCTGCAGAGCTACTGGGGGGGGGGGGCATGTAGGGTTGTTTTTAGGAGGGGGTTCTGAGGGGAGGGGCGGGGCATACAGCTCTCAACGAGTCTGGAGTTGGTTTGGTTCCATTTCCGCAGCTCCTTATTCAAGGGCCCAAACTATTTATCAGGGTAAGGTTAATTTTATAGAAATGTCATCAAATTAACATTGGGATAATCAGAATTAGTAATTAGCTAGTTAACAACAACTTGAATGCACATGACAAAATGTTTCGTGGGACACCCCAAGTGACATGGCCCTGTGGCCAACAACGTCAGACTGTCATGAAGGAGGTGGGGCATGCCACCCCCCATCC